GGGGTGGGGCCGCCTCAGGCGCGCTGTAGCCCCGCGGGGCGGTGCCGGGCGAGTCCCAGCTCGGCTCTGCCCGCCCGGGGGCTCGTGGCACGGCCCGGAGCCGCCCCGCAGAGAAGCTCCTGGCTTTGGGGAAGGGGAGAGGGAAGGTCGCCCCGGGGGTGCTCCGGCTCCGCGTCCCGCGGGGGCGGCTGAGGTGCCCTCGGCTTCGGCAGCTGTTGGCTGCTTTCAGGGGCCAGGGTCAACGGAAGAACAAACGATTTTCAGATTATCAACTTGCCTCTCCTCTGCTTGAGCCAGTTGCATAACTGAGCAATCCGTAAAGTGAGTGAAAAGCTGAGTAAAACGCCCAGATGTTTTCCACTTCAGATAATGCAACAAGTTTCTTATCCCCTGATCACGTGGAAGGCTGGCTGGAACAACTTGAGAAACAAAACATGCTTTGGGATAAGAGTTGATCTCTTAACTGGAAGAAGAACAGCAGATGAGAGAGGGAGTGTGATTTGAAAATCTTAGGAGACAAAAAGGTTCACCTGTTGCTTCTGTTACGGCAATGCTGCTGTGTTTCTTTGATAAATACAAAGTCTTACTGTCATCATAAAAATGGTGAAGAAGAATAGTTTATGATGTCAAATTTCAAGCAATCATTTGACATAATTGTTACTGTGCAGTGGTATAATGTCATCTTGGACCACATTTCTTAATGTATATCCATGTTTTAATCTTTAGGATATGTTTGCAATATTAAAATAACTCTGGTAAACAAAATCACTGTTTTAAAAAGTCATTTCTTAGAGCCCTGAGGGCAATACCGATTATGGGAAGTGTGTTTGGTATAAAGAAAGCCATTAAGTGACTGGTTGGAACCTAAGTTTGAAAATGTTTCTAGTGTAAGCTGCAAGTATCTTAGCAGCTGGTTTTAAGCAAGTGCAAGCTGAATCCAAAATGGCGCTGTATTATTTGTAGCCTTGAAGCTGGGTATGCTTTCACGTCCTGCAGTTGTCACCGGTGTATATTCTGTACCTGTTGTGAACTTGGCAGACCCTTTACTCTGCTGGACTCGGGTTCAAGGACTCAGGTGGTAAATTAGTCTCTTGTACTTACTCAGACTGAGATGTTAATGAGGACACTTGCTGGCAACACATTTTTGGGGATGTGAACAGCTGTTGAGAAGGAATTTGAATGAGATCAACTCATGTCTCACAGACCATAAAATGGCCATCACATATCACTAACCTTATGAAAGTAACAGCTGGGATAACAGTAAATACAAATGCCCTGGCACGCAGTTATCTATAATATTAGCCTTTATGGTTAGGAGTTTGAGATTCCTTTTTTGAAAAATTTGTTAATCTTTAGGCTTAGAAAATTTCATAGCTATCAAAAGTAATCACTGAGTATAGATCACTTATGTATGTATACCATATACCAGTAAATGTTTCCTTTTCAGGTCATGGAGGTCAGGTGATACTGTGCTCAATGACCAAGAGTTTAGAGAGAAAGCAGCGAGTGGCAGGGGTCGAATGATGCCAGTGTGAGTGGATATGGTTGTGTTACTGTCAGAGGGTAAACACAGAGGTGGTAGGTGTGTCTAAATGCTGGTATGGACTTGGATTTTCTTCTGCGGCCTTGATCAGGCTCACAAAAACATGTGTGACATCCTTTGAAATCTGTGATTTCTTGAAGAAGTATGCTTTCCTCAACTGGGACCGAGCCCAGCACATTCTTAGAGCATCTGGTTTTCTTCAGATAAAATTGGGAGAGAGATGAAATCTCACTATGTTTGTTAGCATTATAACCTCTCTTAACTTTGCCTTCCTTGCATGGCAATATAACTGTGAAAAGAACATTGTCTTACAGCCATTAAAAGATTATTTGTAGGGATTGTTTTTCAGTCTTGTAGCTGAAACAAGTCTAGATAAAACTGTATGAAACAGTATACTGGCATAGCATTACAGTAAAAAACAGAGAAGAAACTGGCAGCTAGTTTGGACTGTGTACTATACGTAGCCCCAGATGGAGAACGTAATTTAAATTTGCTCACCAGGAGGAGGTCTGGTCCAAACATTTGAACACATTCTATGAATCTGCTTGAGGCAGCTACAGTGTTCTGGCACCCTTCCAGCGTTTCTGTCAAAGCAGTGCTTTTCCTTAACAGTCCTGACCAGTCTGTGTGGAAAAAAAAAAACAAAACCAAAAACCAAACTGTGTCCACATCCCTTGAGATACAGTTGCAGATATTTGCAGAGTCTGTTGTCTAAAGGCTTTTAAAGTCAACCTGTTCTTAATTCTGACACAATACTTCTGTCCCATCTTAAGTGATTCCTTTTCAGCTGCAGTGGTTACAGTGTGTTGTCAGTCATCTTGCTTTGTATCACAGTTGTTTATTTCTTTTTTAAAAGACTGTAGAGAATGTTTCTAATCAGATGATGATGATGATGTTCCTCTAAAAATATCAATATACTGTTTGCCTAATACACTGACGGTATAAACTAGGGTGGTCAGTCCCAGGTTATTACTGTCTTTCTTTAGAATTCAAAGTTATGTTGATTTTTAAAGAGCACGTTAATAATAATTGTTTAAAATTGGTAACTGTAATTTGCTAGACTACTTTGATGGTTAGTAAAAAAAAATGCATTTATCTGTTCATTGTGTTTAAAAACACCCACCAGAACAACCAAGTAAGCCACCAAACAAGGCTAATGCTAAGTGGGGAAGGTTGGTTCCATTTTTGTCTGTGTGAATCCAGAAGTATAGTCTTGATTGTTTAATTAGAGAAAGGACAGTAAAAGACCCAGGTTGCCCTTTGGCTTATGTTTGTAGAATCGCTGACAGCAACAGTGGCATTTTTAACTTCCTGGTGCCAAAAATTGGAGCTGTTGAAGTAGCATTTTACATCTTAATTGACTCTATCTAGGCAAAATCAATAATTTAGCACAACAGACCTATTAATCACAATGAATATTTTTTAGGTTTTAGTGTAGATGTTCACAGACAGAGAACACTGCAGTGTAATCTTAAATTACTAGTATTTTTAAAGGTAGTTAAGTTTTATTTATGAAAAACACTGTGTCCAAGGTTTTGCATGATTTTTTCTGAAGGAAATTTTGAAAGCTGGCTAAGCAATGAATTTCTTGAAAGGACTTTCAAAATGAAACTGTCCTTCTGAGAGAAGGATGGCAGCCAGGGGGATTATAGCAGAGTTCAGCTTTGTATCTCCAAGTGGAACCTTCTCTTCCTTGATTTTGCTATTGAGAAAGCCCGTTCTGCAAATTAAGTGCATATGAGGCTTGTACATGAACTCAGACTGCCATGAAGTCAACATTTAACATGCCTTTGTATTTTACTCTGCCAATTACTTTTCTCGTGACTGGGAGCTATTTTTAGTTTCTCCTAAAGGGAAAAAAAACCCCAACCAACCAACTTGTGTTTTTTTTAACAGTTTGTATACTGTATGAGCCTTTGCTTTTCCATCTGAATCTGTCATTTTCTGGAATGTTATACAACAGATGTTTGTCTCACTTGAATGTGGTGTTATTTATTTTGCTGAAAGACATCTAAAAGCATTTTCACTGTTGCAGGCACTTGGCTTCTTGTGGTATTCTGATGACCAGAATTTCTCCTTTGCAAGTACCTGTAATGAGCCATACCTTTTCAAGAACTTTCTTCAACATTGCTGCACCATTAGTAAATAAAAGAAAAGAATATTCTGAAAGAAGAATTATAGGGTTTGTATAAATGTGTGGAAAGAGACTTTATATACCTGTTGATTTTGTGTTTGCTGTAATTAATCCAAAACACTAGAAGTTCAGGGGCTGAGCAGCCCTGAAGACACATGTCCCTATGGCTCTGCCCAACTGGAGACCTGGAAGGAGTCCTAGGAAGGACTTTCAGAATTTGTAGAGATTGGACTTTTCCAGCCTGAAATTGAATATAAAAAGTGTAGGAAGCCAGAACTCTTGCCCCATAGAAGGAAGTGCTGGAAAATAATATTTCTATTCTATGACAAAACAAAAACAACCCTGAAAGGGAAGAATACACTATTAATTTCATCTGGTGAAATAGGAATAAATCCACAGGTGTAAAAACTGTCAATTTGTTCCTTTCTGTCCCAAATACGTGCTAACATTTGCACTTACATTATGTTTTTCTTCCCACTTCTTGAGATTTTCTTCTGTCTTTAAAAGGAGGAAAATAGTTATTTATATGATAAAGAACCTTAGGCACATAGAAGAAGATTTTGAAATCCTGTTTGCCTTAAAGCTAGTGGGAAAATTCCAGTTAATTTGATGAGACTGGGAATCCACCCCCAGTCTCTGGTCCACAATGGTATGAACTATTTGTTTATTAGCATATTTTTTTTTACTGTGCTTAACCTCAGTTATGTTATAGTTCTTGAACTGCAACAGATTTTGCCTAGGCACTTAAAAAGAACCTTGGTCCAATAGTACTCACTGTTGAGTACTGTTGAACATATGCTTCATTTTAAGCACAGATGGAATTAAGCGTGTGCTTTAGTTCTTTCCTGAGTCAGAACTAAAAATTAAAAGCCATAGCTGTATAATACTATGCCACATTACAACGTTGCCATCATACTCTTTCATACAGCTCAATATCCTGCTTGAGCAGAGGGGTTGAACAAAATGACCTCCTGAGCTCCCTTCCAACCTCAGCCATTCTCTGATGCTGTGAGGTTTTTCCATTGATGTATTTTTTAATTAAGTTTTTTTATTTGGGATAAAATAAGGAAAGTAGCGTTCCTCTATTTAAACCTTATGAAATAAAGTAGTTTTGATACAGCTTTTCTAGCCATGACGTGTATTCTTTATGTGGAATATCTTAAGATCTACCTAAATGAATATACAACCATGCTGGAAAAACTATTTTTATATTTGAAATGTATATATATTTACCCGATATTGCAGGAAGTAGCAGACACCACGTTCACTGTTTGCTAACTTTACCGTTGGATGTTGTGTGGTGTTTTGCATCTTTATGCAAAGACTTTTACCAGTTTATTACTTTTTTTTGTTTTTTACTTTACAAAACCAGTGGTACTGTTTTCAAGACTGCCATTTATATAATCTTTGAAACTTTTTAATACTGAGTTTGAGGTTAAAAAAACTTGTAACAAATGTTTGTATTTCTGATTCCAGGTATTCTATGCAGGAAATGTATGAAGTTGTTGCCGTTGTGGAGAATTACAAACTATTTGTTCCTTGGTGTAAAAAGTCAGACATATTATCGAAGCGCTCTGGATACTGCAAAGCACAGCTAGAAATAGGATTCCCTCCTGTAGTAGAGAGGTACACATCAGTTGTTACCCTAGTGAGACCTCATTTAGTTAAGGTAACTTTTTTTTTTTTTCTTAGCTGTAACTTTCCATAACTTTTGTTTGTTGAAATTCAAATAACTCGTATATTGAAACAAAATTGATGCTCGAAGTGCTTTGTGTGGCTCAAAACTTGTGTTGCTTTTGTTTAAAGACTTAGGTTAACTGGAGAGAATTTGAATGTACTTTTAAAACATAAGCTGCGTGGTGAGGTGGAGGAGGAACTGCTTTTTAATTTCCTTTTGCTAGAGAAACTAGCCTCCATTAATGAAGATACACCATTTTTGTTAAAATTTTGTCCAAGCCCCTCTAAATGCAAAATTAACACTAACTTAGAAGTTATCTTTGACAACTGTAGCTTCTGATGCCTTAGAAAAATTGATACCTGTCATTACTTTTCTTCTGAGAATTTTCCCTAGCTAATATCTTAAGAAGAACTTGTTATTCAATGTGTTGATAAGAAGATAGAAGAGTGGATCCAAAGCCCCTTTGTTCAGAAGAGAAGCAATTGTATTTCTCCCGTTTTCAGCTTTTTAAGAGCAATTATTAAAAATGTCAGGGCAGAAATATTAAATGAAGCCTGAATCTTCTGATTAGTTTGCCTTATATGTTCAAATCTGTTTGGTTAGGAACAGCTCAAAACAGATTCCTTACAGCAAAACTCTCCCTTCATGTGACAGATTTCAACTTGGCGTAACTAGTGGAATTACAACAGTTGATTGCTGTTTGAGATAATTGTTTGGATATACTCTTTCACTGTTCTTCCCTAGACTTCCTCTTTAAAAGACACTGCTCTAAACAGAAACTGGGTTTAAGTACAGGGGAGAGGTCAATTGGAAAGTGAATACGCAAAGTGCTTTACTTTGTACTTAATGATTCTGGAAAGAGAAAAAGTATATTTCTCCCTTTCTTAAAGTTGAACAGCTCCAATGGAAGATGTGCATTTTACATGCTGACTGCTTTCCCTTTCTCCTCCTCCCTGACAAGACTGGCTTTTTCCTTTCAAATAGCTATCAGATGGACTTGCCAGCAATTTTTCCTCCTAATTCACTCAAAAGATAATTTCTTGTCGCAGAAAAGACCATGAAAGTTGTGAGAACTGTTTCTTCAGATTTCCTCCTCCTAGATTTACTAGCACTTTCTCTGTTGGGATTATTTTTTCTAGCTTACATTCTGTGCATGTAGGGACATTTCTAGAGGCGCAACCGTGTTTGAACTGCTTCATTGTCCACAGAAACAACTCTGAGCAAAGGCAGCTTGCCTGGTGGTCTAGCATAGTGGGCTGCTGGTGGCAACAAAACGAGCACGGATTTGTTGCTTGTGGCAGCAGTGCTTGAGCAATGGAAAAATCGGACTGGTGGTAGCAGCAGCTATTGCCACAGAGGAAAGCACGGAGTGAGTTTCCTACTTACAAGGTTGGAAGCAAGGGGCGGGGGGGACACACTGTCAATTTTCCCATGTTTCCTGCCCTTTTGGCAGCAGCAGGAAAAGCAAGCCCAGCTCTTCATGTCTACTTGCCTCTACTCCTCCCCTGGCTGTAGTAGTAAGGTACTCCTGGGCAGAAAAATATAGGTATTTTTGTGCTGCTGATTAGTCGTTGAGATGGCTTACCTTACCATGGCTTTCAAACCACAAGCAACGCCTGTTCATCATGGCTCGTCTTTTTGGATCAGATCTGCTTGTGATAACAGTAAGAACTTGTAAAAAAAGAATTAAAAAACTATAGAAATTCTCTCTAGAAGTTCCAAAACAACTGAGATTATGTATTTGGATGATTTTGAAGTGTATGTCTTTCAGTCTTTCTCTATTATAAATATGGGCATAGAGAATTAGCTATATGTACTAAAAGCAAAATGAGTGAAAATAAAGACCCTGTTGTCATGAAAAGTATGAAGCCAACTACTGCAAATACTGTGTTGTTTTCAAGAAGCATTGTGTGCAAACACTCCTGAAACATTAGTTAAATATGGCTTGCCAGTAACTAAAAGCCAACATGGGCAGGGATACCTTCCACTAGCCCAGGCTGCTCAAAGCCCCGTCCAACCTGGCCTTTCATTACATTACATACATGTAATGAAAAAAAACCCCAAACAAACACAGTAAATATCCATATCCTTTGCTTAAAGCAGTGTTGTTCATAATTCTGGTATATAGCATTAGCATTATTTTAGCATTCTATGCGTCATGCTAGAGATCTGTTTTATGACTCCCAAGACACTAAATTTTTCCTCTCCCTTAAAAGGAATTCAATTATTTTGCTGCAAGGGACACTGTGCAAATGGGATCTCGCACTGGCTGCACTCTAATTTTAACTCTGCCATGAGAACCTTCACTGTCTAACAAAATGCAAATGCAAACTTCAGTAACACCAATTTGTCACATCTATAAAAGTTTAATTGTAGTTTGACTTTTTAAACTTCGTTTTAGGCATCCTGCACAGATGGAAAACTATTTAATCACTTGGAAACAGTGTGGCGTTTCAGCCCAGGTATCCCTGGTTATCCAAGGACATGTACACTGGATTTTTCAGTAAGTATTATAATTAATTAAGACTACCACATGATAGGAACAGGGCATAGAAACAGTATCTTCAACTGTGCTTTCTTTTCTTTAATGTCTGCAACTAATTTTCCATACACATGGAAAACAAGTTCGTTTTAGTCACTACTATCCAAAAAGTTTTTGCAGGCTTTACCACGTGGAAGCCATTAGTGTTCTTCAGAGACAGCAGTCTTCTGTGAGGTGTCTGCATATCATGAAGCAGTCTAGGGATTGGTATCTCTTACTGTACAATTCTAAAAGTACTCAAGTTTTTAGACAGTTAAATGCAGAGGGAGAAATATTAAACATACTTTGCTATTTCCTTTAATTACTCTGCAACTGAAGTGCTCTTGGTCCCAGTAAGTAGGTATTCTCCCATCTGTCCTGGTTGGCCTGCAGTTTGGTCAATTTAATTTTCTGGCTTCCAATTTTACTCTTCCATGTATTTTGAGTGTTACTCCTTCCTTTTGTAATACAGGTATAATAGATTTTTGCTGTCTTTCTAGAATATGATGGGCTATCACTGCAGCTCAGAACAATTGCTCTTTAAATCTAGTATCAGATTTAGCCTGTTACTCCTAGACAAGTTGTTTTCCACTCAAACTACAGCTTTTCCATTTTGTCTAGTCTGTCACCACATTTTTTCTTACATTTTATAGTGTTAAGAGTAGGTGTTGCATTGAACCCGTAACTAAGCTGGGGTTTAGAACAGTCTACACAAGTACACAGAAATGGGTTGATCCTGCTGCCATCTACTGGGGTACTATGCTTTAAAACTTACTGTCTGTAAATAAGAAAAAGCTTTTGAGTATTTGTAAACTAGCACATAAGTCTCCTTGGGTTAATAACTTTCAGCTCATTGCTGTATTGCACTTCATGGAGTTCAACGGTAAAATTGAATCTGTAGGCATTAAAAAAAAAACCCATTTCTTATGGGATTTGCATGTTATTTGCTCATGGTATTTGAATTTCTCTAGGCAGGTGCCAGTTCCTGCTACTAACCAGTATGTAAACTAGCTTTTAACTGAAGCCAGAAATCAGTTGAGAGAACCTGAATTAAGCAAGTGTCTAAAGTGCTGAGGAAAATCCCCCCCTGCCACACCAAAGCCAGCTTTTGACTAGTTATTGACCTGAAAGGTCAAAGGGAGTCAAGACTGGACTCAAAATGGGTATTTTCACTTTCTTGGGGAAACGCTATTGACACTTCTTCGTGGCTACCCCCTTTTGAGGTGGCAGAAGCAAATGTAGCTAGTTGAGCAGGGGGTTGCCTCGCAGAGGCAAGTCCGCAAGGACTCGTGAGTCCTTGACCTGCTTTGTTGCTTGCCTCTGGGCCTGTGCAGATAGGGACGATAAGCCCTTCTCAGCACATACTGTGTAAGTACAGATATTCCAGAGACAACTTTTATTTCAAGAATGCTTGTCTTCTTTCAAAAATGTAAATTGAGTTTTGGGTTATGCTGGTTCCCACAAGCTAATGTGTCCTCTTTTACCAGCTTGATTCCAGGAGACACATACATACAGCAGGGAGCTTTTCTAGCTTGGTTTCAGCTTTTGAATGATTTGGTATACAGACTGAAGCATAACACCATTTTTACCACCTGCAAACTTTGTAAATCTATACCATACCTCAGGTTTTCACAGGTACTGAACATGATGCCAGACTCATTATCCCTGCTCTGCAGGACTCTACATGCTCTCAGTGACAACTCTCAGACTTTCAAAAGGCACATTAATTTTACTGGTGCTTGAGGTCAAGTAAATGTAAATGAAGCTTCACTGGGCTTGCAGGCCAAGTAGTTTAAAGACTTCTGTGCTACTGTTTCGCAGTTAATGTGCATTACTCATAAGCAGTTTGAGAGAAGCTGTGTTTGTGCCATTTAGCATTTAATCTGCAGATTTCTCAGGAGTGGCAAAAATACTTAAATCTCAATCCAAAAGACACATTATAGCAGGAGCGATGATAAAAGTGCAGAAGAGCAAATTTTTGTTTCGTAATCATTTCAGGAAGCTGCGTATTCCAAAACAATGCGATTTCATAGCCTTAGGGGAATGTTGTTTAACTAGACTGAAGGCCAGCAGAGCACAAAAGCATAACTCAGGCTAGTTGATGTAAAAGTGACCTTTTCTTTTGAGGGTGGAGAAAGAAAGTGAACTCTCTGTGCCCCTGCCATAACTGTTAACTGCTGCAGCAGCTTCAGTTTAACAGAAAGATTAAGCAGCTGAAAAAAAATGCTGAAATTCAGTTCTGAGCGTGGCAGTGGGAGGCCCGAGGTGGTACAGAGGACTTCACCAGCCTGTCTGTACTCTGGAAGTGACTGCCCAGTCATGACAGCGACAGTCCAGGGTGGGAGGGGTTCAGGTAGGAGGTACAGCACACAAAACCAAATCTGTAGCTTTAGTCAGTAAACTGCTCTTTGACCATACTGTAACTACAGCTACCTAGATGGAAAGACTGATTTAAAATGTTGGCATTTAATAGGTAGCTATGTCAAGCTGCTTTTAAATGCCTCTTGGGTTTGCTCCAGCTTACCTGCAAGTCTGCTGTCTGTCTGTCGTGCCATGCAGGATTGTCTTCAGCTGACTTTTGTCCTCCAAGGGAGTTCTGTGTGCAAAGCAACTAAGTTATTGTTTGTCAGTAGCTTTTTCATTATCCCAAATCTTTTACTTATGTTTTGTGATGTGGCATTTATTAAGTAAAATACAGTTAGCTTAGATAAATGGAAATGATTACTTCAGAAAAACTAACCAGAATTATTCTTCTAATCGAAAAGCCCAGGGAGACAGTCCTCTGATTTGCTTGCAGACTAGCTGGAGATTCTTTGAGTTGTTTATTTATAACAGCATTTTACTACAACAGTAGATACAGGAAAAACATTTCTTCTCTATTGTCTTAAACAGGTTTCTTTTGAATTTCGTTCACTTCTACACTCAAAACTCGCTACACTGTTTTTTGATGAAGTGGTAAAGCAGATGGTAGCTGCCTTTGAAAGAAGAGCATCCAAACTCCACGGCCCAGAAACAAACATACCTCGGGAGCTAATGCTTCATGAAGTTCATCACACATAAAAAGGAGAATTGTAACCACCTCCATTATAAACTCGTTTGTACACTTCATTTGTACGAGAGGTGCCACGCTCCTCCTTTGGGGCGTCTATTTCCTATCTGAGCTTTGGGTGTGATTTTATACTGTACAAAACACACCTGTTCAGCCAGATGTATATAGAATGTTCAAGCTGCAATCAAGTGCAACTTAAAGTGTTACCAGGAACAGAGTTGGCAGCTGCTGTAACACAAGGTGTCTCAGGCTGCCATTTGTTAACTTGCCAAAGGGTTTGTGTAGTCACAGTGTAAGTTCTGCCTTATCCAAGCTTATGTTTTTTTTCAGCATTGTAATGTATTAACTCAAGTTAAGTTATTAGTAGTGTGAATGTAACTTAACAGCAGCAATTCAGCCAAGTCTGGCAAAGCGAAGGGAAATGGGCATTCTGGCTTTGCCGAGTATGAACATTTTGTCAGGCGTTGGGTAGCAGGTGCTTTTAATCCAAGTAAAGGACAAAGGTAAGTCAGGAATCACCAGCTGCTGTTGAATTCTGACCAGCAACTGCAATAGAAAAAGGAACACAGCCTGAACACTCTTCAAATTTCAGAGGTTAAACACGAGGGGTACATGTCATGTGTGGAGTAATAGAATTTGAGTGCAGGGGTTTTGGCTCTAGCCAGCCATTTTTGCCTGCCCGGCAGGCTGAGCTTCCCTGCCATCAGGGTAGGGTAGACGCGTCTCCTGGAACGCAGACAGGTCCCAGTTCCCACACAGCTGTAACCCACGTGAGCGTTACCTCTTTGGGAGGGAGAGCAGGGATGCACAAGGGTCTGTAACACAGCACTGCGCTCGTGGCAGGGCTGGAGAGGAACAAGGTGACCTCTGCTTATTGCAGCCAAGCATGCCCAAGGCTGGCTGCCGTTAACAAACACACCTTGCAGAGCTAAACCTTCCTTCTTAGGGGTCTTTCCAGTACTGTACTACCACTAGTCTGTAACACCAGTACCAGCTGTCAATTGAATTCATTGTCAATAGTTCTTGTCCTGACAGTATTCTTTTCAGTCTCTGAAGAAACATGTTAAAATCTGTTTGAACACATTTTAAAATCCTGTCTCTGCTGCCTTGCGTTAGCAAATTTCCTTACTGAAATGAGGGGAAGCTTCAGGTCAGGTGTTAAAGCAGATCCTTTCTCCAAAGTGCCTGGTTGGTAGAGAAGAGGGTATGAAATACTGTAGGAAGATACTTTTCCAGAAAGAGCAATTGGAATTTCACACCCCCTATCTGGGAAGGGTAGTTCTCATTAAGGGTAGGAAGCTGGGGGAAGTGATAGCTGGGTTAAGAGGTCAGTTTTAAAGCACTGGGGAGTTGTAAAGCAGTTTCCTATGTTGAGACAATCAGAGCAGCACACCCAAGTCTGGAACAGTGTTCTGACATTTGGAAAGCAGAGTCCAAAAGCATGCAGCAAACAGTAGGTGGCAAACCAAGCCATCGTTTTTAAGGTTAAAGCAGCATCTAGTGCAACATAATTCAAGCTACATGCTAGAGGAGTGGGAGGCTCCAGGCAAGGAGGTAACCACCTGCTACACCTGAGCAGGGGAAGTCTTTAAAAACCCAGGCAGGCCCTTTTCTCAGCAAAGACAACTCCCTTTCCTGGGCCCAGGGCACTTTTCCCTCCCAGGTCCTGCAAGCTGCACCAGCCTGGTCCAGCACAGGCAAAATAACGTCAGTGCACATGCCTTAGTTTCACAGCATTGTTTAATAGTGCAGGGAACTGTACTGCCCGCTCAGCACAGAGTTCTTTGCAAAATTGAAGTCCCCAAAATTAAAGTTTCTGAGAAACATTCTAGACAAAGGACCCTTTCCTGGCAGGAAAGGCCCTGTCATTTCCAAACATGTGTCTGATTTCTACTAAATCTTAGAAGCAGCAACAGGCTCTGGCTTTGGGTGCAGAGGAAGAAGGTGATACATTTCATCACTTTTGAGCAGTTTGTTTTATTACATAAAGGTCACATAACCATATTTGCCTACTTGGTACACAGTTGTCTTAGTCTCACGCACAGTGGCTTCCAAGTTCTTCCTAGTACTGGCAAGCACCAATAAATTCTGAAACAGAATATCAAGTGCCTTAATTAAGTTTAAATCAGGACCTTGGGAGATGGATCTTGCACCCAGTTATCAGGAATGTACAAATGTCTTTATTCAAAAAATACAAAATAAATTATCTGTAGGCATGGACAATGACTGTAAACAATTACATGTGTTAAATGAAATCCAGTAACTGATGGTTACAGTGATTCTTTTAAACACCAGCCTCACTTCAGTCACTATCCACCCTCTTGCACCGACATCGGAAGTTTTTGAAGTCAGAACTGTCAGTCTTAAAACAGCACAGCTCATGACACAGCCCTGGCCCAGGAATCAGAACATGCCACCTCCCATTCCTCCGCCCATCCCACCCATCCCGCCCATCGCAGGCTCCTTCTCTTCCTTAGGAATCTCGGTCACCACCGCTTCTGCTGTGGACAAGAGGGACGCAACACCTGCAGCATCCATCAGAGCCGTTCTCACAACCTAAAAATAGGAAAGAAATAACTTAATACCTTCTGACCATCACATGAGGTGGGAGGAAGGAAAGCTGAGAATTAAGACTATTTTAGGTTACCTTCGTTGGGTCTATGATTCCTTTTTCTACCATGTTTACAAAGTCCCCAAGCATTGCATCGTAGCCAACTTCTGCTGGACTCTGCAGGATTTTTTCAACTATTAGTGATCCTTCAACACCTGCGTTCTTTGCAATAGTCATTGCTGGGATTTTCAGTGTTCTCTTTATTATTTCAATGCCTGTAAGAAAAAAGGATGTTTAAAATTACATATTACTCAAACTGCTGCCTCCTGTGCCAAGGCATGCGCTCATCTGCTGAGGCCAATACAAACCGAGAACCCTCTGAGCAAGAACTTCTTTCCCTGACACTGATAGAAACAGCTGAAGTTCCCTGCTGCCTGACATCTGTCAACAAATTAAATCTTTGCAGGACCTTCACACCCATTTCAGTTTTACTTCTGCAAAAAGCAGTAAGGAGCATTATTACTGTAACATGGCACAAAGTCTTTTCCCATTCAATGTGCTGCATGATCTCTTAAACATTCTCAGATTTCACTGTCTGCCTGCAACAGCTGTAACAGTCAACTCCACCCTTCCTGTAATGATTTACAATTCTTTGCAGGGGTCCTGCTGCTTTATTTTTACTGGTTCCTTCACATCCCAGTCAGGGACACAGTGAAAGCTCCTTCCCACTGTAAAGCAGAGATCACTGGCTGTACCAAGGAGGTTCTACAGATCAAGTAACTGAAAACTCACTGAAAGCAACCCGTATTTAACCCGGTAAAGCCTCATGCCAGAGAAAATCCATTCTTAACACTTACACACACACGTTCAGGTAATTTACTTACCAATTTTCTGATCTTCGTTGGCTGGAGCTAAGGCATCTAGTGCTGGAATGCAGCGGAGCAGCGCACAGCCACCGCCCGGAACGATGCCTTCTTCTACGGCAGCGCGGGTCGCGTTCAGGGCGTCAGTAACTCTGTCTTTCTTCTCGTTCACTTCAACATCACTTGTTCCACCAACCTACAAGCAGCAAGGCACACGTCAGGGTCTGCACAAGGAGCCGGGCTGGGAGAGCACTGCCGGCTACGGAACTGCTGCCACAACACGGAAACAGGCAGCTCGGGCCAGAAAGCAAACCCGTGCTCCCCCATCCTGGCAGCGTTCTTCTGTACCTCAGCACTCAAGAGGCCCAAACACACAATTTTAGTTGTTTCATCAAGTTCTTAATACCAAAGTGTAGCACTGTAAGACAACAAATTCCTCATCCAGATGAACCGCTAAAATGATGATGCAGCCGCACAGCAGTAACTGAACTGGCAATAAAGGACTGATACTACCTCTTTCCCAAGAAGTTTAACTTCTCACCTTCAACACTGCTACTCCATCAGAGAGTTTGGCCAATCGCTCATTCAGTTTTTCTTTTTCATATTCACTTGTGGTAACTTCTAGCTGTTCAATAATTTCTTGAATACGTTTTTCAATTTGAGCCTTTTCACCCTTCCCCTTCAGAAGCATAGTGTCATCTTTTGTCACAATGACCTCTCCAACTTTACCAAAGTCATGAGCCTGAATGTCTTCTACATTTAGGCTCAAACCCTCTTCTCCAAACACCTGAAACAAATTACATGAAAAGTCAGAATTCACAGCTTCTGCACGTGTGAGTTTCTTATTTACAGACAGATGGACACACAGAGCAGGCTTGCAGTGTCAAACCACCACACCACTGCAGTCAAGTTGAACAGAACTCTTGTCCTAACAAGTCCAGGCACACAGGTAGCTCCAACTGGCCCTCATGGGACAGGGAGCTGCCAGCTTCTCATTCACTGAATCACAGAATCATCAAGATTGGAAAAGACCTTGAAGATCATCCAGTCTAACCGTTAACCCGACAGTTCCCAACTACACCAGATCCCTCAGTGCTATGTCAACGTGACTCTTATAAACACCTCCAGGGATGGGGACTCCATCACCGCCCTGGGCAGCCCATTCTAATGCCCAATTATGGCCCTGACTAATGTACCTCACCCATCCACAGTGCCTGGAAAGCAGAGTTGTGTTACAGCCGCCTCCTGGTATTTCAAGGAGTTAATGAATGTTGGCACTAAACTCAGAGTTAGTTTGCTGGTTTGTTACTCTGTGCTCCAGTTAGCTTAAACATGAAGTTTTATTTCAATAACCACCTTTGGATCCCAGTATCATGCTATGATTTTGAAGCATGTATAAAAAAAAGCAGCTTAAAGGGACACTAATTAGCACATCAACTATTTGAGAAGTTGAATATGAAAGAAAAATGAACCAGTCTCTTCCCAACATGTAACAATTATATTTGCCATACTCCAGTCTGGGCAATCATGAGACAATCCATTTTATAAGGTGGCAAGAAAGCTTTGCTATTTCTAAAGAGATTTCCTTGCAGTTCCTCCTTCCCCTTTAACAACGTAAATACTGCAAGGAAATGGTGTGTAACTTCAAAGGACATATTACTCGGGGTAATCACACAGCAATTATCAATATCCACATTTAAAAAAAAAAATATTTCACAAATTAGTTAACTGTTACATTTTTGAAAGAGGACACAGCCTGCTACACAGCAAATACAAGCCACTGACCTAAAAATATACATTCTTTTCCTTCTTAAATACCATTAGCGTTTCTTAGAGCAAAAAGCCAGTTAAATCATTACTTACAGCACCGCCAGTAGCAATTGCCATATCCTTAAGCTGGTTTTTCCTGTTGTCACCAAAACCTGGTGCTTTTACAGCAACAACCTGAAGACCAACCTTTAGTCTGAAGAGAAGAATTCAGAGAGCAACACTCCACATGTGTTCAGAGAACAAGCCCAATTACTAAAACCAATTAATTCAGTACAGCTCTAACAATCAAGCAAGAAGAGACCTTCATGAACTGAGCTGGTTCTGCCCAGACAAGCAGTTAGGAAACACCTGAAGTTCTGTCCTAATTGATGCGCAATATGGCTACATACAAAAGCTGCTGTTTCTCAGGTACTAACAGGAGAACAGACAACAGCACTACACCTTAACATATTGAAATAGATTTTTATGCATGCCTTTAAAAGGATGAAAAAAAAAAAAATAGTAGTATTTGTCTAAAAGTATGGATTTTGAGCCTCACCTGTTCAAGACTAGAGTGCTGAGGGCTTCTCCATCAACATCTTCAGCAATGATGACCAAAGGTTTGCGGTGAGCATTGGCAATTTCAAGAGCTGGAACTATGGACTGTACACTAGAAATTTTCTTCTCACTGATTAAAACATAAGCATCCTGGAATTCACATTTCTGCCCTGCAGGAACAACATGTGTGGTCTGAACAATGCAATTATAAAAACGTATCAAGCATTCTCTTAAAACTTAAGGAGCTACTCTGGAGCAGCTGTTGCAATTTCCAACAGCATTAGAGAAAAGAAACACAAATTGTTTTCTCCAAGAGTCCACCTTTAATTCTACATTGTTCTGGAGTATTGCTGGGCCAGCTTGATATTAGCACGGATGCTGTCTACACTTCAGAGAAGGAAAAAAACCCTAAAGGCCCCAAGCTTTTACCTAGAGTTAGAAGTTTCTGATGGGGAAGGACTCCCCCCCCCATCCTATTTGCTGTGGTACACAGTGTAACAGACTGAAGTCTTTACATCAGGTACCATTATTTCTAACTTACAAGAGCCTCTGTAAAGTATTTGACAGGTGTTATTGTTAACTTACCTTTGGTTGTATTAATAAAATATGGAGAGATGTAGCCTCTGTCAAATTTCATACCCTCAATGATTTCCAATTCATCGTTCAGAGTTTTTCCATCCTGTTCAGGTGCATAAAAGTCTACATTAAAGATCCCTTATTAACTACCAAGAGCACAAGTACAGTTTTAGCGAACTGTGCACAACAGAACAAAAGGCTCCGCACCACACATCAGTTTCATGTGCTTCCCTTCAAAATAAAAGGATTCTAAGAGGGAACAGCAATCAAGTCCCAATCTAAAGGAGCTGGGGAGGGAGGAATGACAGTGGGAAACCATACAGGAGCAGCACATGCCACAAAGCCAGCCCTAGTTGGAGAAGAGACAGTCGCTTTGCACTCAGTCCATATGTGGGCCAGTTCTTACCTTGACAGTGATCACACCCTTTCGTCCAACTTTCTTCATTGCATCAGAGATTATATTGCCGATTTCCTGATCTCCATTTGCTGATATTGTGGCAACCTGAAACCATAAACCATTTAATCTCATTTCACAATGC